TTGTGCCCTCTCTACGCTAGCAAGAGTGTACGCGGGGCATAAAAGGTTGGGAAACCCTAGACAGCCGGTTATCCAAAACAAACTATAGATTCCTACAGTATTGACATATTCTTTTTTCCAAATAGTGCAGTTCCTGATTAGATGGAGAATAATCCATATGCATACTTCGTTCTGCTCCTTCTTTCATTCAATTGTTTTTAATTTTAGCTGAATTATTGTATTGAAATAAAACTGTCTAAGTATGCATTTTACCACATGTTACAGTATAGGTGTGGGCGATATATCAAAATTTACGATTATGTAGAGATTTTCTTTAAGCTCGAAGTGAATTTTGACATGTCATATATATAGTTATTGTTTATATTTCACTTCCCTCTCTAAACTTTATATGCAGCTAAAAAAAAAAAGTAGATTACGGATACCAAGATGAAGCATTACTTTGCGATAGAAAAACTCCTGCGACGGTGCTCTACAGAGAGAGGGAGAGCTGCGTGCTGCTGAATTGAAACAGGTTACTGACTATCGATGTAATCAGAGATTCTCTTTTCTCCTTTAATGTGGCTGAAGCACTTTGTTCCAAATGCACTGCCGTAAGTGGACTAGATTTTATTTTTGAATGGAGAGAAGTTAATGTTTCATTTCATTTCTGTAGTGTACATACAATACAAAACACTACAACATAATGAGCGAGTGTGGGAGAACGGATGCAAATTAGTCCAAGGCTATAATCCAAAGAGGTGTGTTCATTGAAATGCACTGTCCTAACCAAATAAACAATACAATAAATCTACCTGGAGCAGACAGTGAATATAGCATTTTCTATATTTCATTTGTCTCATTGAGGGCTTTGATTTATTTTATTTGTGATTAAAGTGTAATTAAAATTATTGGATTTTTTTTTTATTAAATAGTCCAACTATTTTAGTTTAGTATTTTATTCATTGTTATTCTCTCTCTCTCTCTTCCTGCCCTCGCTCGCTCTTTACCGAAACTCCATAAATATACGAGGAAGTGCGAATCAATTTTCCAGACAATCAATCAAATTTTATTTATAAAGCGCTTTTCATGCAAAAAGTGTAACACAAAGTGCTTTACAGTTTAGTTAAAAACAATCCAACATGCCCAGCCCTAAACCCTCCTCCCCACAGACCCCCCCAAAACCACATTTATAATTATATATACAACCACATGCGTATACACACACACACATATACACACACACACACACACAGACACACACATACGTAACATAAGTATAAAGTCATATCAGGTAAAATAGGTAAAACAATAAAAAGAAATGGGGCTGGGAGCAGATGTAACCGGCTGAAGAAGCGCTATCCAAGGAGCCATCTGCACCAGGAGCAGAGAGCCGGCTGCAGCCACAGGGAACGACACAGGACCCAGAGGAGAGAGGGGCCCCAGGCCCACCAGGCCCAGGACTCAGACCCCATAGGACCCAGAGGAGAGAGGAGGCCCCAGACCCCCACCGGATCCAAGAGCCAGACCCCCGAAGCCAAGGCAGACCCCAGCACCCAGTGCAGAGGGCTCCTCCAGAGGAAACACTGGGGACACTAAAACAATACAATAATACAATAGAAAGTAGAACAATAAAATGTGACAGTAAAAAGAAAAATGGCAGCTGCCTAATATTGATAATAACAATAGTAAATGGGTAGATACAATAAATAATTAAAAATAGTAAATGATAAAAATAAATAAAAATAGAATGTGTCTAAAAACATAAATAGATGTACTAAAAAGCAATAATAAATAATAAAAACTAATCAAAAGCTACTCCTAAAAAGGTGCGTCTTGAGCCTACTCTTAAATATATGAACGTTCTCTGCGGCCCTGAGCTCCTCCGGCAGACTGTTCCAGAGACGGGGGCCGTAGTGCTGGAAAGATGCCTCGCCGTGAGTTTGTGTCCTGACTTTGGGGATGGTTAGGAGTCTGCTGCCGGAGGAGCGCAGGGGCCGGGAAGGTTCATAGGATAAAAGCAAATCTGAAAGATAAGAAGGCCCAAGACCCTTAAGACATTTAAAAACCATTAAAAGAACCTTAAAATCGATCCTGAAACACACGGGGAGCCAATGCAGCGATTTTAAAACCGGTGTAATGTGGTCCCGCCCCCTGGTCTTAGTCAGGACACGTGCGGCCGAGTTTTGAGGTAATTGTAAACCTGAAATGTTCTTTTTGGGAAGACCAGAGAGCAGGGCATTACAGTAGTCAATGCGACTGGTGAAAAAAGCATGCATCAGCGTCTCCGTGTTGGCCGAAAGAGAATGGGGCGGACTCTGGCGATGTTCTTTAAATGATAAAAACCTATTTTTGTGATGTTCTTGATGTGAGGAATAAAAGTCAGCTCAGAGTCAAAGATTACGCCCAGGTTTTTCACTTGTGATGATGGATTAAAAGAGTGTGATTGGAGTTTCGGTAAAAGTTTCTCTCTCTGGGCCTCAGGACCGATGACTAAAACCTCAGTTTTGTCCTGGTTGAGCTGGAGAAAGTTTTCTGCTATCCAGGATTTCAGGTCTAAAATGCAGTTAAAAAGAGAATCCATTGGCCTGGTGTCATCAGGAGACATGGAGATGTACAGCTGTGTATCATCTGCATAACTGTGGAAGTCAATTCCATGTCTCCTGATGACACCGCCAAGAGGGAGCATGTACAGGTTAAAAAGGACTGGACCTAAAATGGAACCCTGGGGCACACCACATGTGATTTTATGGACCTGAGAGGAGCAGGTATCCAAACTCACCATGAAGGATCTGTCTGTTAAATAAGAAGTGAACCATTTGTGGACAGCACCAGAGAGGCTGAGGTGTTGTAGGCGTGATGAAAGAATGGTGTGGTCTACTGTGTCGAAGGCAGCGCTAAGATCCAGTAGAACCAACACGGTCACCTTTTTAGAATCATAATTTAGTCTAAAATCATTTAAAATGACCACACTATCATCCTGGTTGTTGTAAATGTTGAGTTGTGAGGTCACAGGAGTGAAGTCGCCATATAGACATTGTCCAACAGTTTCTGGTTTATGACTAATGGGAATCAACCACTGAATAATGCACTGGTCCAGCTCAAATACAGCCCAAATGGAATGTGATTCGGTTATGATTAGCTTATTAGTTATTTCAAGTGTTGAACTGAAGACATCTCCCAACTTTTACTCAAAGCCAAACTTTTCATCATGCTCTGGTCAGGGACATAGTATGATAAAAGTATAGTTACAGTAAAGTCGAGGTGTCTCCGCTTCGGCTGCTGCTCCAGCACTCCCGAAAATGAATGGATGGACACAACAGCGTATTCATACATACTTAACGCAGTGGTCATTATTGGAAGTCAGATTTATATAAATTTATTTTCATTATAAGTATAGATTTGTACAATGCATTTGTGCTGTGTAAATGTAAAATATGTAAAATTAAGTGTGCACATTGTCCTCTGCATTTGACCCATCCTGATGTCACTAAGGCTTCCATCAGGAGCAGTGTTGCAGGGTCAGTGCCTGGGGACCCATCGCCACATGTTGGTCAGGACTACTGGTGCAGGAGGATTTTACCTGTTGTGCATGTTTTAGTGCTAGGGACACCGGAGCACCTGGAGGAATCTGGAGCACCCGTGGGAAACCGGAAATAGACACGGGGAGAACATGCAAACTCCGTAAGAGAAAGACCCTGTTCCGACCGGGATTCGAACCAAGGACCTGCTTTCTGAGAAGCTAGAGTGCCCCTCATTCTTACTGTTGTGGCAGAACTGAAATTTCCCCATGTGGGGCGATTCAAGGGTCACTTCTTATTAAAAGGCATCATCATCACAATAATATGACTCTATAATTTAACTCATTTTGTGAACTGCATTAGTATAGTATTTACTGAGTTTGAAAATGTGATTAAGTGAAAACACTGAACAGCTGTGGTGGAGCTGTCATTTGAAAGGATGAGGGCAAACAGGTTTGTTTGTGTCAGAGCCTCTTGGATTCATTTGGTCTTTTACGGCCTGTGAATTATCAGCTTAAATTGCTTATAGATACTGGTTTCTGTGTTGGCTGCATGTGGTTATGAAACTAACCCAGGCATGTAGTTAAACAAGCTTTACCAGATACATTTTAATGAAGTTGACTCTCCTGTTTGTTCATTTGAAACAATGGACATAAACATGACATCATTCTAATTATTCTTGCTGTAAGGTCATATTATTGTGTACATACTGTGCTATCCGCGGTGACCATTGTGGCAGTTATCTAGGCAAACATACTAAAAACCCCTTTCTAATCAAACACATTCATATTGAGTGAAAAATGCAAGTCATCTATAAGCATTCACCCCAAGTATATCTTATCACATTTTTCCATTAGACTTTCCTTTGCCCTCTGGAGCATAGTGACTGTAACTTCAGTTCAGTCCAGTCCCATGTTTTGAGCTGGTCTCACCTGTCAACAGAAAAAGGAAGGAAGCTGACCGAGCTTGAAAAACGGGTTTGTTTGCTTTCCTCATTATTACACAAGGGGCGCAGAGCTTTGCAGTCTGAAAGAGTAGCACGGCGCACAGGACCACACCAGTGAAATGTATCGTATCTCTCTTCTTATCTCTTTATTGTACCTTGACTTTAAACCAGCTCGTGTGTGCATGTGTGCGCCTCCACTTGTTGCGAATAGCAGCAACACCCTCTTTGCTGGGAGTGTTCAAGGTTCAGGAAGATAACTAGGAGGTGAGTAGCTGACGCATGCACTGTGTTGAGTTACCACTGGCTGAGATCATATTACATAGACTGCAGGTTAGTCTGAAACCATAGCTCTTGAGATTGAGAGCAGCGGAGCGAACTAGGAACAAACAGAGGACTTACTTTTTTGCCTAAAAAGCTCAATTGTAACACATTGCTTCCTGGTTGTTGTTTTTTTACAGAGAAGCGTTACCATGGGTAGTGGGAAGACACAACTTCTTTCATGTCTCCTGCTCGGATGCCTCTTTCACCATGCGACGGGTTTTGTGTTTTGGTCTGCCATGGTGGAACTAAGCTACATGAACAACCAGAATGAGACGATAGACCGGTACTGTGAGTGTGGCGTCTTTGGTCGCAATGCTGCCGTAGATAGAGCCCAGGGGGTTCTGACTCTGCCCAGAACTGATCCAAAAGGCTGCGGGCAGGATCTGGTCTACAACAGAAATGCCAGCTCCCCGCCAGATTGGATCGCTTTGGTGAAACGCGGCAACTGCACATTCAGCGAGAAGATCCTAGCAGCGAGACGCCAAGGGGCAGCTGCGGTTGTGATCTACAACGGTGATGGTACTGGCAACTCCACTACACACATGTCTCATCCCGAAGCCCCGAATGTGGTGGCTATTATGATCGGGAATTATCAAGGTATGGAGATTCTTAAATTGCTTCAAAATGGCACCGAAGTTCAAATGATAATCGAGGTCGGCAGCCCGCATGGACCTTGGATGGACACGTACTGGCTGTACTTCTTGTCTATCGCCTTCTTTATCGTCACCACAGCCTCCATAGCCTATTTCGTGTTTATCTCCGCTAACCGCCTGTACAACCTGCGAGTGCACAGGCGAGCGGAGAGGCAGCTGAAATCCGAAGCTAAAAAAGCCATCAAACGCCTGGAAGTGCGCACCCTCAAACGAGGCGACGAAGAAACCGCTTCGGAGAACTTTCTTTGTGCGGTGTGCATAGAACCTTACAAAGTAGGCGATGTGGTGACGGTGTTGACATGCGACCATATTTTCCACAAGGCCTGCATCGAGCCCTGGCTGCTGGAGAGAAGAACCTGCCCCATGTGCAAGTGCGACATCCTCAAAGCCTTAGGAGTGGAGGAGGAAAGCAAGGATTACGGCACACGACCAGAGGTTACCGTGGTCACCGTGGCAGGAGGAGATGCCATGTACGAGGTGCCACTGACAGACACAGCCAGGCCACCGACCTATGACGACAGGTCCTTTGAGGAAGAACCAACCAGGGGATAGATCGCAAGCACCGGAAACAAAACAAGACAGCCACCAGCGAGAAAGACTATAGGGATTTCACTGTTTTATGAGGACACTGGAACAAGTTTAACAAATCATGCAAGATGAATCGATACAATTACTTTTAATCAAAAACCTACCTTCTAAATATCCAATGGCTAAAAATGCCAGAATAATAGATTTGTTTGAAAATGTGACTATAAACGTGACTTTTTATGTTGATGAGTGGGTCAGATATATATTGGTGATAATACTTTTCAAATGATTTTCTATGAGTGAATACTTTCCATATTTCAGTTTAACTGTTGAAATATGATCATATATGCGCACATTGGTCTATATTTCTATTGTAACAACTATACTATACCAGGGCTGCACAATGTTATGAAAACAAAAACACAATCTAAGACTGTTAATGTTGCTTTATCTAATCTTTTCTACTTTAGGTAAGAACACTCATAAAGTGAGTTGTGAAGGTGGTGTTAGGAAAGCCGACCTCATATTTGCCATCTATTTTTAATACGTGTACTTTTCTAAAGACTTGCTTTGGGGTGAGAGCTGATTGGCTGAGCAACTATGGTTCTCTCTGCTTACACTTCCTCATCTTAAAAAAGCCTTGAGGAAACTGTCAAACGGTTCTATTTAAGAATTTATTACACATTTTAATGCAAAAATGTATATATTTGGATATCTGGGATAAGGTAGAGCTTCGGGAAGAGCTTATAAGAATAATAGTTTTTTAACAGTAAATTGATTTTATATACAAGAAGGAAAAACGCGTTTATAGCCGTTCAGTTAATTATATTATGATAGATAAACCAACTGCAATATTGCTATAGTGTGCAGCCCTGGTCTCTCCACTGTTTTGACTCTTTGCTATTCCAAACATGGGGTGTGTCCATAGTCAGTCCAGTCAGACCTGTCTGAGTAAAAAGTGGCCTAGATATCCCCTGGCGTCGCATATCTGTTTTCCATTAGAAGAATTGCTCAATAATTTGCCAGTGAAAGCTCCAAAGCCTCTATCAAGACTTGCAAAACGTAACCAAAGCAGCTTGGAAGATTTGCCTCCAGCCACAGATACCAACGAGTCATATTTTGGTTTTTACATGTCTTAATGTTGATAGTCATTCACGCGGCTTATGAGCACACACACACCCATACTGGAAACACAGCATTACAAGACAAACTATTTAACCCGAGGGCCAAAATCTTTGCATGAACCAAAAGTTAACCATGAGTTTACGTTAGATACGGTGCATTGATTTGACCAATTGAATGTTTGACCGCTAAGGCTATGCCAATACTAAGTAGTTTGAATCTCATAACTTGCTTTTGGTTCTAAAGTAATTTGTAACAGTAGTTTTTACATGGATTAGGAGAATTTATGGGGGGATCAATACTATTCAAAAGTTCTGATGCCTACTAATAAAGAGGTATCCAGTTTTGATATTTATATGTATTCTAATAATCCTTTTCGGGTACAGCTACGATTAAACTGGCCAAAAAAACAGCCATTCCTACCATACAAGTGCAGAATAGTATCTCATCGAGCAAAACCATCAATTTGACCATCAAGTTGACCGTATAGAAAGATTGTCTTCCTTGTCATATGTTATTGCTGTGGACGTGGCCTGTTCAAATTCACCTGGAACATTCCAGCGTGAGCCTGTCATAGGAGGAGCCTCTATGGACCAATAATGACCACATCCTTGACTCTCACCGATCATATATTATCGTATATAATGTATTTGCTGTGTACATATGACTCTTTTCTTTGTGGCGTCATTGCACTGGCCACGGTGTGCACAGGTCTTCCATGGTTTGAAGTTCTGGAGTTTCCTACCTCTAACAAGGTTTTCAGAGATTGGATTCAGTCTTTCCTTCTGTTTTTCCTCACAGGGTAAATGCTGATTGTTGTGCATATTTTTTACTACACTGATTGATGATGTGGGGGGGAGGAGTATTGTGCTGCTCTGTACAAATGAATGTAAGATGTTGTATTAAATCACATTGATGCTTATTAGAATGCAATAAATTCCTCAAAATGAGGCCAAGTTTACAACAACTCTCCTGACTTTCAATTCAAGTCGATTTAGTTTTGTTTAGCTACTTTGAACACAGAAAATAATAACAAACACATGGGAGGCATCTGTCCATATAGATTGTTATTTTACTTCTGTAATTCAATTTAAAATGTGAAACTTGTATATGACTCTCTATAAACACTAAGTAAGTAATCTTTCTTTTATATAGCACATTTTTACAGCCCAAGGTCACCCGAAGCGCTTTACAGGTTAAGGCCTCTTTACGCTTTTCTCTACTCTCTGTGTTGCTGTTTGTCTGGGTGTGCAATATCCAGACTGTGCTTAATCCAGTATATTAGGAGTGGACATCACCATGGTGTTAGCCTTAATGTGGATGAATCCAATTTGAACATGAGTTTGCTGGAACCAATTTCCATGTTTTTGAATGTTTCATGCACCCCAAGGTATTCCAACATAACCAATTATTCTTTTGGGATAACTGAGAAAGGCGTGGGGTGGGGGGGTTTTGCTTTAATTCAAGGCTTTATTTGACTTCTGAGCATGTGTATTAGTCCGTCCCTTTAGTCCAATTGCTCGTCATAATCCATAGTTTTAGCTAATTCATCTTAGTCTGGTCTGAGCAACTTTTCAATGTAAATCAATAGGCTTCATTGAGCTAGCAGGTTAGCATTGCCCATCTATATAGTCTACTATGGCATATTCAAATGAACTTGCCTTGTCATTTACTAGTCAAGCAGCTCAAAAAAGCTCCAGTCTCTCAAACTGAAATACGCGTAGGGATTGTGCATTGGAATGGGCAGACTTTGAAAATGTCACAGCAAAGTATTTGAAATATCTGAGTCACTGACATGTTCGGATCTGAGTGTGGTTCTCCCAGAGCAGCTGTCTCTGCTCCAGGCCTGTGCTGCTCCACACCAATAGTCAAGATAATGATTGTCATAATTCCTCATTTCTGTTTTATAAAGTAACAAATCTTCAATATTACAAAACATGTCAAAACTAAGTGGTATGAGTATTTTGAATATTAAAGTAAGATTGACCACAGAGAAAAATCTAATTTCCTTCTTCTTGGTTGGATAAAACATATGCAAATCGATTCTCATGCAGCACCCTATTCTCTAGTAGTAGTAGTAGTAGTAATAGTGGTAGTGGTAGTTAATATATAACTTTTTTCGGATTAGCATTATTCTTTCACTCAATACACAGTGGTGATAAACTACTACTATAGCCACAGCTGCCATGGGGCACACTGACAGAAGCGAGACAACCAGTATGTGCCCATTTTGGGTAATGTCGGTGAAGTGTCTTGTCAAAAGACACAATGGCAGTTTGGCATGTAGCCACCCCACTGTCGCACCTGCTGTTCCCAGAGGTCTCCCATCACAGTACGAACCAGGCCCTGCCCTGCTTTGCTTCAGAGGTCTGAGGGGATCTGGCTTTCATACGCAGGTGGTGCCACAAAATCTGACTTTTGTTGTTGATTGCGGTCGCATTCCTGGACTTCAGCTCATAGTTTAAACATTCATTCACTTGGCTCTTTGTTATCGGACTGTGTTGACTTTTTCCATTAAACAAACGTTGGTGTCATTCCTGTAGAACCGCGAAGATAACTGCAGACAAAAACAACATGTATGTACCATGTCCTTATGGTGAGGTTGGCATGCCTACAGTGCAGGTGATTTTACACTTTAATTATAACCCAAAAACACATTGTAAAATTTAGTGAGGTTGGTGAATAGTTAGTTTGGTGAATTTATATTTTGGCCAAGTTTATAAGACCAGACAACTATTGGTGATGGCATTTCATCATGTTCTCAATGTGGGCATCCCCCCCAAAAAAAACTTCCCACTGTTTTTGTGTGTTTGGCATTTTTGCACACAGGATGGTCTTAGGACAGTGATGATCAGGGACATTTCCCTGTGGAACAATGGCTCTTATGTTTTTGTTATTATTGCATATCCTGTGTTCTGATCGGTTGTTTAGGAATCAAACTTTTGTAAAGTGTTTCACGACGGCCGCTGTTGTGATTTAGGGCTGTACAATAATAAATGTAATTGAATTGAGTCGTATACCCAAAGATTGGAACAGTGTAAACTCTGTAAATGCTAGCTCTAGAGCAACCACATTTTCATTTTGTTTTACAGAAGTTCTATTTTATGGTTTCAAACAGGAAGTACACTTCTTAAGACTGTCACGAGAGCGTCATCTTGGTTGGAAATGTGTGACCAGTTTGTGCCTCAGCTCTATTTCACATGCAATAGCCACATCTCCACCAGCCCTACTTGGCCTTACTCTAGGCAAAGGAATAGGAATTATATTTGCATAGTTCCCACAGTTCAGACACTTCACATGTCATTATTCTTTCACTCTATACACAGTGATAAACTACTACTGTAGCCACAGCTGCCCTGGGGCACACTGACGGAAGCAAGGCAACCAGTCTGTGCCATCGGCCCCTCCAACCACCACCACCACCAACCATTCACACACACACCAGACTCATTCTAGACAATGTGGATGAAGTGTCTTGCCTAAGGACACAACTGCAGTTTGGCAGTATACACCCTACTGAGGCACCTGGTGTTCCCAGAGGTTAAAGAGCGACTAAACACCTGTGCCCAGCCTGACTACGCCCACATGAACATTTGAAATTTTCTCTTAAAAGGGCGTTGCCTTGAGGACCAAGCGACAAGAAGGGGGGCTTGGTCTGGGCTGTGATTGACAGCTCACCAGTCACACAAAAAAAAAAAACAGTCAGTTGTCATTGCTGCTTAAAGCAATAGTTTACACACAAAGTCTCATTCCACCCTTGTTTACACACTGAAATAATTGTAGAGCTACACACCTGAACCTAATCTATAGAATTATTTCAACCTGCAGCTGGGGCGTGTGTGAGACTTGAATGGGTTTATATCACTGGCGTAGAGAGATGCACGTCACACATACAAACTGAC